CTTTTGGGCCTAGGTGTGGTAGCTGCTTGTGTATGATAGCATCAGGGCTGTCAAAGGATAAAACTAAAACAATTTAGTAACACATTTTCCCTTTATTCAAGGGGAAACAATCCGTGGTTTGGCGGAATGCAGTGCCTCACAGCAGTGGAGTGCTTTTCCCTAGGGATTTTGGGCAAGAGCGAGGTTTATAGAGCATTAGAAGAGGCAACAGGGAAATAGGGCGTGATTGGCTAGGAGGTGGGGGATTTCCTTACAAGGCTGGCAGGTCCTATTTCTGGGATAAGGTGAGCTAGCTAAAGCTGAGTTGGAGAATTGTGATTGGTGCTAGTTTTCCTGACAGGCGTTTCCAGTGAGTGTAGCTGACTTAGATTTAGATTTGTGACATGGGCTGGGTCACTGGGGTGGCCTCCATTTTGTGGGTCCCAATATATGTATTAACTTTATCAGGGCACCTCACTATCCCTTGTGGCTTCCTAACGCATTGCTCATTGCCTTACAAACAGCCTATTAAACACTCTTCAAAGTACTAAATTTGAGTGAATATCCATTTTCTGATGGACACTGGCCGACATACTGGCCTCTTCTAGCTTACGTGCTAGTGGAGTTGGCAGGCATTAAACAAAAATACAAATAAGATATTTGTTCTCAAAATATGATAGTTGACAGAGAATTTAAGAACCTTGTCTAATAACAGTGAGACCAGGCTGTCAGAAGGCATAATGTGGATTAGGATTCAGGGAATAACTCACTGAAGAGGTGCCTTACTAGGAAAACTGAAGAATGAATAGGAGTTATTCAAGGAAAGACTGGTTCGACAAACATTCTGGGCCTTGAAAATAGCAAATGCAAAGCTACTGAGGCAGGAAGAAGTATCATATGTTCTAGAAACAACAATCTCTTGTGATTGGAGTATAATGAAAGTAGTAGCAAAACAGAAAAGTTGTAGAGGTAAAGAAGATCAGGCATATGGTGAACCTTTTGCTTTTTTGGTATGTGTCTATTGTTTCTCTTTCCCAACATCATGCTTCCTTTTGTATCTTGAAGGGTAGAAGACTATAAATCACATTTCCTTGGTTCCTTTGCCAGCCACATTCTGGTTAGTTTCAGCCACTGGGAGGCAATGGAAGAGAAGTGAGAAGCCAGGAGGAAAGGAGAATCTATTTGCTTCTGGCAATAATGGTGGTAAGTCCTTGAGTGTGGCACTGGGAGAGATGGTCACTATAACACAGTACTTCTTCCCCATGGGGAAGGGATAAAATAACTCCAATATTATCTCTTTATGTCATGTAATCCACTGAAAGGACATTTTGGAGACTGACAGGCCTAGTATGTTCAGGGGAGGCTTCTAATTTATTTAGCAGGAGTACCAGATCAAATTAGATAGGCCAGTCCGTGAATACACTTTCTAATTCTAGTCTGATAATTTTATCAATTCATAAAGTTTTCAAGCAAAGTATGGACTGCACTGATATTTCTTCAAAAATATCAATTAGTTTAGCACTTTTGCTATGAATATATGTTAGCTTTTGGTAGGTCAAACAGTATTAATTTACACCAGCAATTTTACCTATGAAATTCTTTTGATATTTTTCTTTATATTATCCCAAGAACTATCCGGGATCTTCATTTACTGATTGCCAATTGTGAGTCTAGATATCAGTCAGTCAGCCTTGTAAACACTCAGAACTCTTATCAGTGCTGAAACTAGCACACACAGAATCTAGATTCCCTGATATGTGAAGCCGTGCCAACTAAGTCAGCCTGATAGAAAATTATATTATTTTGTCCTTAGTCAAGCACCCTCATTATCCATTACCACACATATTTCTGAGATTTTATCATTATTAATTATCTAAATCATTTACTTTTTTTGGTTGTAAACCTTTACATATTAGATTTGGCTTTATAATTGTTCCCTACAACTAATGCATGACAATAACTCCATTTAGAAATGGGTATGGCGATGAGGGGGTAAAGGGTGGAACACGAGAAAAAGTGTGTATTTTTAAGTGTGATCCCCATTTTCAGGAATCTTTCATTATTCACTTTAAACTATTGTAAACACTTTTTGAGTAATTAAGTCTACATAGTTTTATTCTTTCTCATTTGGTATCTGTTAATACAAATCTGATCATGAAACTATCCTGCTAAAATCTTTCAAAATCTGCCTTTAACATTCCCACCCAAGTTTTTACACAACTTAGACCAAAGTATATAAGAACTACTTCTTATTAAGAGAAGACAGTTATGTGTGGGTTCTGTGTGGAGGTAAATAATATCCTGATTTATTACTTTATCTCCTATACATTGAGAATCTGATTGAGTAAATAACATCACATTTTCTTGTCTTATTCGGCTTGGGTTGCTATAACAAATACCATAGGCTGGGTGGCTTAAACAACAAACCTTTATTTCTCACATTTCTGGAGTCTGGGTAGTCCATGACCAAGGTGTTCGTAGATTCAGTGTCTGGTGAAGGCCTGCTTTCTGGTTTCTAGGGGCAGCCATCTTGCTGTGTGTTCACGTGATTTCTTCTTTGTGGGATCAAGGAGGGGGGGGGTGGCTCTGGTATGTTCCTCTTATAAGATCACTAATCCCATCATGAGGATTCTACCCTCATGACCTCACTTAAACCCACTAAACCCAACCCCCTTTACCTCCCAAAGGCCCCACCTCCAAATACCATCACATTGGGGGTTGTTAGGATTTCAGCATATAAATTTGAGGGGGACACAAATGTTCAGTCCATAGCATTTCTTTTCTAAATTGGAATTAGAACAATACCTACCTCAAAGGGTTGTAAGAATTAAATAAATGCATTCATGTTACACATGTAGCCCATAAGTGGTCGGTACTGAACATCTCTTCCATCTTTTCTTTAAAGGCTCACTCTCCTCTCCTTTGAGCCTCAACTATTCATTTTGAAGCTTTCATGTTATGATGCAAAGTGAGATTATTTCCCAGTATTGGATGAGTGAAGCAATTTGCTGGATCTGGAGGAGGGAGAGAAGGCCAGCGGAAAATCCTCTCATATTCCTTATAATTGTTTTATATCACCTTCCATCTGCCATGATTGAGGCATCTAAAACGCTTAGAGGAGTATATGAAATTAGTAAAGACTTTTAGAAGTCTGTACATTTTCTCATTTCTGTAAAAGGAAAACACATCCCCTTTGAATTCCCTGATGAAAGTAAAGAAGCAATACCAGCATATTACATACATATATACATACATACATACATGATAAAGTCAGTCTTACAAATACTGTCATAGACATTACTCAACATTGATATTTACGTTTATGTTAACATATGCCACAGACATGGAAATGCAGTGCCCAGATCCCCCGTTAAGGAAAGACTTGCTGCCCAGCTGCAGAGAGCAGTTAGCAGATAGACAGCAGCTGTCACCTCCTTCAGTATATGCTTGAGTTACCGAGCTTCATCTCACTCAAGGGCACGCCCTTCCTCAGGGCAGTCCACATCCAGTGACCCAGCAAGTGGTGACAGATTGGCCCAGGGACATTTTGGCCCAATGTGGGGCAACTCTGAGCGACAATTCCGGGCTCCAGGGCTCCCCATGTGTTTGGTCTGTTTCACAGTTTGACATTCTCCTCTGTCCAATCCTAGTTCCTCCCTTTCCCTTCACAGATGTTGGTCCCTAATAAACATCTTGCACCCAAACTCCATCTCAGCATCTCTGTCCAGAGAACCCAACCTGTAACACTTTATCACCATAAATTTTTTTTCCTGGGCCTCTTGCATGTTCTTCTCATTTTATTCAGCAGGGCTCTGCAAACAAAGACTAGGAGTAGCAAATAAAACTGTGTGTATTGCATTATAAACTATGTCCTCTAAAGCTTTGCTTGTGAACCACATGATAAAGTTACTACTATTTTTATGGTGCCTTTTTTAAAAAAAAGTGGGCTGTATTCCATAGCTTTCTCTATCTAGTAATTTGTGTTTTAAAATTTATTATTTCAGAGATCAGCATTGCTATATTTTGATTACTTGGGCATATTAATTTACACATCCTACAAAGTCCTATATTGAGGGTCTGTCACCCTTCTCCCTTCCCACTACCTGCTTTTATTTCATAGCCTCCTGGGCCTTCTGACTGTTCCCAAGAAATGCCAAACACATTGTCTGTCTTAGGGCCTTTGCATTTTCAGTTATCTCTACTCGGAATACTCCTCCCCTAACATCTGCCTGTCTCATTTCTTTTTTCAATTTATGTAGGCCTCTGATCAGGTAACACCTTTAAAGAGGTCATCTCCACTTACCCGCTGTCTAAAACAGTAATTCCCATCATGCTCTATAGCCTATCTTTCCTCTATTCTTAGAATATGTATGATCTGACATCACACGTTTGCATGTTTATTTTGTCTCCCCCACCTAGTAGTAATTTCCATGGCAGCAGATTTTTTAGGTGGCATTCACTTATACGTTGAGCTACTAGTAGGGTGCATTAAATTAACATGTGTTCCAAAGAAATAGGACCAAGGATTTATCAATATGGAAGTCCATAAATTCTGCATATTTTTAATCAAATCAAATCCTAATTCCCATTGGAATTAAATCCTAACTTGAAAATGGAAATGACTGCCAAGTAGAATTTTAAGACTTTCATCATCTGGTTATTATTCTCCAGGGTGAGATCAATTAAAAATCAGGCTGTTCCCTTCAAGGACTCTTCCGGTAGACCTTCAGGGACAACCCTTCAGAATTGCTAAATTTGTTTTCGAAAAGCAACCAGAGCATTCTGTACTTCAGCTGTTTGAGAACACTAATTCATAACACGGTTAGACCACAATTTCCAAATTGTCCTTTGAATAGGTCACACTATATTTGGCATTACTGTTACAGTTGCTGCACCCTCTCCCAAGAGGATACTAGCACTTTGCACTTGGTAATGTTGTCATCAAAAAACGAAAATATAATGGTGTGCACCAGCTTTCTCTCTGACAGGGTAGGTGGCTCTGAAAAGAGCCTTTGTTTTCCATCGTTCCTAACCTTATTTGGCCTTGTGATGGCTCTCGGTCTTCTTGGGCAGCAGCACGGCCTGGATGTTGGGCAGGACGCCGCCCTGCGCGATGGTGACTTTGCCCAGGAGCTTGTTGAGCTCCTCGTCGTTGCGGATGGCCAGCTGCAGGTGGCGCGGGATGATGCGCGTCTTCTTGTTGTCGCGGGCCGCGTTGCCCGCCAGCTCCAGGATCTCGGCCGTCAGGTACTCCAGCACCGCCGCCAGGTACACCGGCGCGCCGGCCCCCACCCGCTCGGCATA